AGATCGTCCAGGTGACTTCCCATTTCTTCCATCTCAGCCTCTTATCAACGATTGTCGTAATTCTTTCCTCCAGGAGCCAATCACGTGTGAATTCCGTCTTCAAGTACTTCGCCTCTATTTCTGTAAGTTGGGACTACGCGGCATCCTTGTCCGAATCCTGGCCATCAATTGTGATCAAGCATCGCCTCTTCTAGACTGATCATAGGGTGACCCTCCTCAGTCACAGGTACCACATTCTCGCTGTGCAAAGGGGCAATTTGGACGGCTAGAAGAGTTGAGAGGAGGGAGATAAGAGAGGGGAGGGGGGGGAGGCGGAGTGCGAAGAAGGAGAAACATGGCTTTGTTATTCTGTTTGATAACCAGGCGGCAACCGCGCACAGGATCAGGCACTATATAATGGCCTCTTCCAGGTTGTTTGAACATATTATCTGCAGAGCAGCGAGTAACTGTGGTCCTCTGATCGTTTTCTACGTTCCTGGACCCACTGGTTGACTAGGAGGGCTGCATATGAAATCAGCAATTGAAGACAGTCACTGTGAATCTGTTTGGGTAAATTTGATTTGATTTTCTCATATTATTTTTTCTTCATGGGATCTCGATGTGCTTGTCAGAGTTGAGACTGGACGGTTCTGTCAACTTGAATCTGTTCTGCATTTCCGGCGGCGGGTCTTTGGTCTTCAGCCCGAGTTCGAATCCAAACTTGGCAGAGTACTTTGTAACGAACCGCCACCAAGTTTGGGTACGAAACCTGGGTATGAACTCGGGCTGAAGTTGGCGAAGTACTCTGCATCAAGCCTCGAACTCGGGTACAAACTCCACTCTTCCTTACCACAATCCCACTAAAAAACCAGTCAAACTTTAGGCTAAAAAAAAAAAAAAAAAAACCTTACTTCTTCCAGGGTTGCACGAACTTCAAGGTGGCCCTGGGGGAACGATAACTGGCACCTCTGTGAAGCCACCATTCAAGGCTTCCAGGCCAAAGGAAAACGCTATCCCCAGCCTCCAGGCACAAAGTGCAGCAATTTGGGCATCTCTGCTGAATTGCTGGACATGCTTCACACCTCTCAAGGATCGACCGACCGTGAGAACAGCAAGCAATCACGCGCTGAGGCGCCCCTTTGAAAAACCTGCGCCTTTCCATTTGGCTATACTCCAACTGCCGTATGCTTTCTGGGTTGAATTGAGTACTACGAAATGCCGCTTCTGATGCTATCATTGTCACTTTGTGGCCTGTTTTTCCCTCTCAATGTACCCTCAACGGTCTTTCTAAAATATACCTACGTTCCAATCCTTATGGAATCACAATAATAAAATAGATCTGATTCATAGATCTGAATCACCTGGGGGCAGCCAGTTTCATGATGATATAACATAATAACAAGATCACAAGACCATCACAAATTTCAAATTGGGGAAAAAGCTCACAATGCAAAGATATTCAGACTGCTTCAAATCAAATACCCTACTACTCCGAGTCATCGTTTAAAGTTTAAACTGATCCGGGGATTGAACTGATCAGGAGCTTCAAGGGATGGGTACTTACAAAACAATGAGGACGTCTTTGGACATCAAGTGCTTCTTCGAGCGGCGAGTACTTCTTTGAACGGTGAGTGCTTCTTTGAACAATGAGTGCTTATGAGCTCTTCTCCAAACGATGAGCGGTACTCCAGACAATGGGTACTTTCTAATGATGAGTAAGTACTCCGAACAAAAGAGTACTTCTAATTTCTAAATTACTATTTTCAGACTGTGAGTACACTCCCACAGCATTGGGGCTGATGGGCTTGCTTGTAGTGAAAGGCTGCTATGCCACAAAAAGACGAAGTGTTTGCTGGCATTATGCGCTTGGGTGCATGTGCACATGCAGGCAGAGCCTGGGAGGCGACGACGATGACACAGTCGATACGCGCACATCCTTATCCTTCGGCTTGCAAGCTGTCAGAGACTCAGACCTGCAACTGTTGATCATCTTCTTCTTCTTCTTCTTCTTTTTTTTTTTGCCCGAAATGCTCCAGTCTATTCGTGGGGAGCAGCACGTGCTGGGAACCGGGCCTAGCGTCCCATATCGAATTATACAGATCATTGAGAACATTTGAGGATCTTCAATAAAGAGTGTTCGCATAAGTCCGTGAAGCAGGACATTTGGCAATGTATTCTGTAGAATACCTGCGCTTACACAGTTTGATGTGCAGACAGACATTACTTACTTCCCTTAGCTCCACCACAACCTTTCCCCCGACCACAACTTTTCCGTCAGCGCCCTGTCCGTTCTCTCACCTCCCGTCAGGACATCTTGTGCAGTCAGCCATAGGTGCTTCTTCTTCTTCTTCTTCTTTTCTTCTTTTCTTCTTTTCGAACCTATGTAGAAATATAACCTTCAACAGATTTACAGTCTGTGACTTTTAACCACTCGACCACTCTCCTAGAGAATTCAGCGTCGGGAGAGGAAGGATTTGAACCTGCGACCTTCTACTTAGAAGGTTGTGCTCTATCCAAGCTGAGCCAAGAAGAATGCAACTTGAACTAAGTTACCCAAAAGAGTCAAAGTCAACGCAACTGCCACAACAAAACAAGCACCTTACTTCCTTGTTTCCTCGTTTTCTTCTTTAATTTTATAGATAGAAGAAGACAATTTGTCAATTTACGTGTGCCATTCATCCTTGCGCAGGGCTCATGCTGATCGTCTGTGTATCGTTGCAATTTTAGCAGACGGCCCGAAGGCCAGCCAAAGGTGCTCTTTAGCAAGTTCAGTTTTCATTTTTTCTTAAACCACGAGTACATGGCCCCAGGAAACTGGAGAACCTCTCCTCAAATTTAGGAGTCCAAGTGCCGTAGATAAAATGAATCGGAAGCTGGCGGGCTCCGAAAGGGGGAGCCCACGGCCAATACTAGCTGGCACGTACTGCTGCTTTCGAGGGAACCTCCTCCCTAACATTATTTCCTCCATCAGGTTTTGAACTCCGGACCTGTCCGAGTGCGCACCATACCGCCTCGGGCTGGTACAGACCATTGGTGATTGGTGCTCTGTTACTTATGCCGAATCGGATTCTCTTTTCCTTTTCCTTTTCCTTTACTTTCCCCCGCTCCAATGTGAACCGTCACTTGTGTCAGTTCTTTTCCTCTACTTTCGCCCCCAACCATCACTTGTGTCAGTTCTTTTCCTCTACTTTCGCCCGCTCCACTATTTCCGTCAGGTCCATATTACTTTTCTCAGCTCCTTTGATGTGCCCGTCTAAGACAACCAGTTCGCACGAACCCGACCCGAGTAGTGGTCCTGCCGTTATATGTGGGAGTCCCCTTTACCATCCTCTTCACCCCGATAGAACCCCCCTTGGTCATTAGTTATCTCGGTGACAGGACTGAAAGGCCCCAGAAACACGGGTATAATGACCGCCGGGCATTTTATTCAGGCAAAAAGTACTAAAAACGGTTGGCTTGTAGGCTGAGACCAGGAAAGATGATAGCATATATGCATACTGAGCCCAGGAAAGACGCAAGCGTGCCACCAGAGTACTTGCGGGCCTCCTTTCCCACCACTAGCAGCCGGCCAATTGGCTCCAGTCTATTGGTGGGGAGCACCTGCTGGAAAACGGCTCCAGAGTCCCTCATACAACCTTTTTTTTTTTTTTTTTCCGAAGAGTTTGAGACTATTATATCCTGAATGTGTAGAAAGTTGAGTCTGAGCATTGACTATGACCAATCTCTCCAGACTCCCTGATTTTACTTCTAATTCCCTTGTCACACTGAAAACAGCCAAAGTGGCTCCCGTTGACGATAAGAGGTCGGGGAAGCGGATGGTGCCCATAAACCCGCTGAGGAAAGAAACTGGAGTTTACTCTGGTGGGTGCTAAATTACATAGAATGCCTACAGGCCCCACACATCCAATTGACGATAGAGGTATGAGGAGCAGATGGCGGCCGTAAAACCTACCCAGGACGGAAACCGGAGATGCTCCAGGTTCAATTCAAATAACCTCCGCAACAATTCAACTAATAACCAGAGGGATCTGATGACGATAAGCCCAGGATCTCTCTTAAAAACAGGAAAAAAGACTAGGGTTCACCTATGGGACTGGAAGTGGCATGTTTCATGTTTACCCCTAGCGCTCGAAGTGCGCAGACCGGGTACGACGTGGCTTGTTCCATAGTGCTTCAATCAGGGGTGGGGAGGGAGGTGAGAGCTCGCTTAGCCCTGATGCCTACACCCACTGTCCGGCCAGAGATCACTAGAATGGGTGATGATCCTGGGTATACTCAGGTGGGACCTTGCGAGTAGGGATGGGCCAGGGATTGTGATCACGAGTAATGGTGTGAGGGTGCGTCATAGGGGACCGGTTCAGCAAAATACACCACCAGGATGAACAAATGGCCAGGTGCTGACGGGCCTGTCATTTGCCTAGTAGCCAGCGTTTACAGCAACCTGGACTTTTAGAGAGAGAAAAAAAAAAAAAAGAGTAGGAGAGGTGAAGCTGAAGAGCACATCGATGCTCTCCATACATCATCTTTAGTTACGTACTCCATCCGCTCCAGCTTAAAGACTCTACATATACATTTTCTTTTTTCTTAATGTGTTCTTCCAATGGGCCACTAGGATCAGATATTAAACCGGTCGGGACGGGAAAAAAAAAAAAAAAAAAAAAAAAAAAAAAAAAAAAAAAGATACCACACCAGATATTAGTCAATGTACTTTTCTTTTGGGTGGAGAGGGGTCCATGCTCCGCAAGGCCCAGGACACATAATTGTCAGTAAGGTGCAGATTGTTTCCAGAAAATGAAAGTGATCAAGGAAGGCCGACTGCCAGAGGAGAAGAGGAGGGAGAGGGAGGACAAAAGGAGCCAGAGGGAGAGGGAGGAGAAGAGGGAGAGGGTAGGGCTGGATCAATAGGGCAGGGGGTTGAAAGATTGCAAACTTCTTGCCACACAGATCTCCTGAATGTTTTCCTGACCCCTTCCCCCCGTCAGAATTAGCAATGGTGGATTTGCAGTGGTATCCTCAATGAAGTATGAATGCAATATTTATTGGACCTCTGAGGCTTCTAGCAGTCTGATGCCACACAGTCTCCACTGTCGGTCTGTTCGTTAGATTTTTCCCAGGAGATATTTTCTGCTAGGTCTAATAGTTGTATCTGGCGGCCTGCTTTGGCTGAAGAGGCAGTCTTTATCTTCACATGTATCTGGCGGCCTGCTTTGGCTGTGTTAGTGGTGTCTGCTCTTATCAGCAACACTAACACTGGTAGGGTTCACAAAAAAAAAACAAACAAACAAACAAACAAACAAACAAACAAACAAACAAACAAACAAACAGAGGCTTCACAAGGCATGCAATTATATTACCGACGACATCCATACTCCCTCCATTAATCACCAAACAAGGCACAGATACATCTACGCAAGTAGTTACTGAACGTGTATTTTAGGGCATCAAGCCCTGCCATGCACGCACGGCCTCGAACCGGCACCCTCAGCCTCAAGAACGAAGTCTCCTAACCACTATAACCCTTGGACGGACGAGTTATAGAAACTGGATCCATACCGGTCCTGATATCCAGGCCACCCCCATTGCAGGGCTGTAGCGTCTTTGAACTCACACCGCACACACACAACACGACACCACGGACACAGCAATCCACACATTCCCGCTCGGACAACAAGCAGCACCACCACCACTACTTAACCTGGTCATCTACATAAGACATGCATGCTATTATTTTACCAACGACATTCGCAGTCTCTCCATTAATCACCAAGGCACAGATACATCTACATAGTTGTTTTCTCGCTCATCAGCTTCCTGTTTGAACCGTTTCCCTCTCTCTCTCTCTCTCTCTCTCACCCACACACACACACACACACACACACACACACACACACACACACACACACACAAACACACACACACACACATTGGATGGATGGATGGATAGATATACTAAAGGAGATAGATAGATAGACAAAAGGAAAAGAGAGATTAGACGCTATTAGGCAGCAACAACTGTTCTGAGAGAGGGTGATTGCCGATCCAGGGTTCGTGACAAGTTGACAAGTTCAGCACCATGCTTTTGTGTTTCTGCACAGCTCTCGCAGTGTCGCTGAGATGTTAACAAGATCACAGCTTCTGGATTTCGACCAATCCATTAATCGGACGCTTCTACCTCCGGGTCCTTGATGACAGCGAGGAGTAGTTTCAGGAAGTCACCACTGCAGTCCTCCTTAACTCGCTCGGAAAGCGATTTCTTATGCTTCTCCTTGTACAACTCCTTGATGTCCACCAGATCCATATCGGCGCGTGCGATAAGATGACGAACCAGTCCTGACTCATCGGTGCCCAAACCTTGCACATCACCCTCAATCTCATCCGCGAACACCTGAGGGATCGACAACAGTGTCCTGCACAGATAGACTAGGTTTTCCTTTATCTTCCCAGAGAATTCTGATTCGATTGCTTCGAATATATTGCCCTCGAACTTGGATGTATATGCCTCAAAGACTGCCTTGATCATGTCTGCACTCTCCTGCGTGAGAATGTCGATGAAAGTGTTCTCATCTGTGCCCCACTTGCCAGGACCAGCATCTGAATAGCGCCACCAAACCAAAAAAAAGAAAAAAACGTAAAAAAAAACACATCAGAATAGGTGGAGGAGCATCAGGCTGACTCATTCTGCTTGTATTTTACTATTTTCATATATATATACATATATATCGTCAAATAGAACTGCCCGGTAAACCGTAGGCAGAGAGGGAGAAGAGGACAACAAACGAGGGATATATATATCGTCAAATAGAATATATATATCGTCAAATAGAACTGCCCGGTAAACCGTAGGCAGAGAGGGAGAAGA